TATGCAGGTTCCCTCACAGAACTTGCTGAGTCCTAAAACAATTTAATTCCATCCCCAATTAAACCTTTAAAAGCATCATCCATCAACCTCAGCAGTTACTTGCATTTAGAGATGATAGCAGACGTGTTCAACAAGTAGATTATCCTCCTTGTCTGCTATGAACAAAAAAGGGCCACGTGGGCTCATTTAGTTGACTTTATGAAACTGATTATTTAAATGCTGTTTTAACTACATGTGCTTCAGTATTATTCTGATATGAAATCAGATATTGTCTCTGATAAAAGTTCAAGAAATCCATTTTAAGGGAATGTTTTATACTACTGTGCAAAAATTCTGAACCATGGCAGTATATTTGATAAATAACCCCGTGCTTTAATGAAATATTCACTATGATGCATCAGTCCTTCCAAATCCAGGCTTAGCATGAGGTAGTACAATGCAATTTTAATTTAATTGTTGTATTTAGTGATTTATGTCACACTTCCAACCAAGAAAATCTGAATCTCAAATACCAATATTTTGGGTAAAATAGCCTTACTGCAAATCAATATGGTTCAAGTGACTCAGTGCTCTTATGTGTTTGACGTTGACAGTTACATATAGATCATATACTAACTTTCAAACCACTTGAATGCATTTTAGAAGGTTTGAAATAAAAAGAAGATTGACTGAAATATATCTGAGTTCAGTTTGACTTCCTGGTACGTTTCCCAGGATTCACCATGTAATTCTTACAAGTACATATGTTATATAAGCTATTGAAGTTTATTTCTATCAAAGCGTACAACTTGGATCCGGAGCTAGTACATGCATGTATACGTGTCAGGAATTAGGATCAGTTCAAAAAGAAAAAGAGAAAAATCTTTTGCATATCCAAGCCATGAATAAGAAGAAAATGGCTGTGATTCCCCAGAAGGTTACAGTTATCAGCTGTCAATCAGCACAGAGCAGCTCACGCTCAATTACTGTGTGCAGTCCAAAGCATTGGCTTATGAATTCCACAGCTGAACTTGAATCTTTTTGATGGGATTCTGCTGCCCATAGTTTTACCTTTTTACTTTTCTCAGATTGCTGGAAAGATTCTGTCTCAAGTTTGAGCTTCCTGATTGTTTTCTTTTTAACTTTTGTGTAATGTACAAGATAGGTTTTCTAAGACGCTGTTTTTGTGGCAGTTATTAACCTAACTTAAGATAGCTCACCTCTCTTTTCCATGCAAATAGGGAGTGCAAATGCATTTTTAATTGTTGCACTTCTGGACTTATATGCCACTGCATGGAGTGCTTGTAGTCTCATTTTCCTGGAAAATTACTCAGATGATATCTTCTGTGTCAGCTGGTCATGGCTTTACATACGTGTATGAAAAAGGGTAATGGACATCATGCTTTGACCAAACTCCAGAAAGGTGGAATCACTATAGATGTGCATTTTAGTAAACAAGTTGAGTGTTTGTGAGAGCTCAACAAAATGTTTTGCAGCCAAAAATTTCTTTTCAATATTATGCCTGTTGGGTAAACTGAGTGATGGAAATTGATGGTAAAATGAAAGGTATTAGTGATTGAGCTGTATTTCCTCTGATTTGATTTATGAACAGGTTAATCTACTTTTAATATTCAATATTGTCTCACCTAAAATGATTTGAGAATAGATTTATCTAATGAAGACAAATTGTAATGGCTGTGAGGATGTGCTAACCTGTTCTCTGTGCTCACTAAAATCCTTCTCTGAGCATCTCCAAAACTGTTTCTCATTTTTTCAGGATATGAACAAGTGATTTCATCCGGATTTCTGAAGGAAAAATTGCTGAGGTTGTAACCGGGCAGTTGCAGTGCTTTTCACTGGTGTAGATGATGTGGTACTTCTCTGGAGTCTGTCAACTTCCCTTTTCTTGGTGGGCTAGAGGTGTTCAAGATCAAATATAGATTTTTTTTTTTAATTTGTCAATTTGTGCCTGAATGTGATTTTCAGGGAGAACAGAATCAGACCTCTCAGCTTCTGTGACAAACCTCAACTGCTGGGGAGAAGCCCAAAGTTGGTAACAAATGTATAAAGCAATTTTTTTGTGTGTGTTTAAATGTCAGCATTAAACCAACCAGAGGTGTATGTGCATTGTCAAATTGGGTCTTGAAAATATATTTTGAGATAAAATTCATCTAAGCTTTTCATGTACCAAGGAAAGCAAATAGACAGGCTAACCTGGCAGTATAATGGAAGTTTCCATTTAACGATGCATAAAAGCAAGGCAGACAGGTTTTAGAGCAAATATCTAGATAATTTTGACATTCAGTCATGCTTTTTTCTTAAGATTTTCATGAAAATAAATCTACGTCATCCTTTTTGAGGACACCAGTCAGGATGTTAGTGTTTGGTAAGCAGACTTGCTGGAAAAATAGCAGAAGTTGGATATATGTACCTACAGATACGCGTCTTATCCTTTTATTTCTCCTTGCAGCTCAGACATATTATTTTTATTTTTAAGACAGCCTAGCTGAAGGGCCAGAGAGGCTAGAAGTGTTAATCCACATTGTAGTCAGAGGAAAGCAACAGCATGTAATGTGAATGGTTGCATTTTTATAGTCATGAAACTCTCTTAGCTAAGAGTCCTAATTCCATTATTTTATTACTCTTGTTTCTAGGACTCGAAAGCATTTTTTCTTTTTGCTCCTTTTTTCAAGAGAATAAAAGTTAAGAGAGCCTTAAGACTTGAAAACTTGTTTGCCCAAAGTTAGGCTTAAGTGAGACTTTCCTGTATTATATGAAAGTCCAAGTCTGCCATACCTATTAAAGGATGCACTTTGTTCTCTATCCCATAGCCAGCTCCTCCTTTTTTGCACTTTTCTTTTTGAAATAGCTTTCATTATGTGTGCTGATTTTCCAGTTTCCCTATGATGCTCTACAACACCTGAACTTGTAGGTAAAGTTTGTGGAATGCCACATGGATCTTCTGCCTGTGCATTGAGCAGCGCTGTGCCGTACTGATATCATTAGAGCTTCACTGCTGCCTTCCCTTCGTGGAATCCTTGCCTATTATTTTATTTTCATTTGTGCTTTCGTTGAATATTTAGTGAGCTCTGATTACGTAATTGAATTTGATAAACTGATGGGATCTGATTGATGAGGAAGTCAGGAATAAAAGATTAAAAGATAAAATTACTTCAAGGCTTTAAGTAAATCTTCCAGAGAGCTGCGATAATTTATAAAGCATGGCATATTCTTTATCAAAATATTCCCGTAGGTCTATTAAATTTTAGCTTCTAACAGAATTGGAATGAATTTTGAGAACCATTTTCATGTAATACTGGCTTGATTGTGGTATTCTAAATGGGGGAAAGCCGTGAGTGGGCTGCAGCATCACAGCCTTGGGATTGTTTGAGTGAGAGAGGTATGGCTGAGTGACAGGACTGTGGGCAGCAGGCTGCCTTTCGAGTAAATCAGTTGCTCTTGGAAAAATGTAAACTGAGAGGTGTAAGTGGATAACTCAGAGTGAAGTCATGAAAGATGCTATCCCGTTAGGCTCTTTAAACCCCTGAAAAAGAGGGTCAGTGAGTTACCTGGGTAGAACTTCAGAGTGCAGGTACCAGCTTCGTTATGGTCTTACTGTAAATGGTTCAGCTTCCTTCAGGGAAGAACAATTAACGACCTCATTCCACGAGCCTTGCAATATGAGCAGGTAAATAGTACTATTTTCAGTGAACTCAGTGCTGGTCATTTTAACTCAGCAGTGGAACCCTGTGCTGTAGCACTTGGAAACTCCTGGTAAAACCCCTTCCCTTAAATACAGATGCACCTCTTTGCCAGTGTATTTTTCACAAGGTAGACTGGCATCTTTCCTGGCAGTCTGTGTCAAAACTCCCTTGGGAGTTTTCCAAAAGTCAGTAACATTGATGCTACTTTTAAAGTATTCACTGACTGCCTGAGTTGAGAAAGAACCTCTGGTTCCCACTTGGGCACACAGCACTGGGTGGCCCTGCTTGTGGTACTTGCCTGCATCCATGCACCTTTGGGACCATCTCCAAGGAGAAGACCTCACATCCTCTCTACAGGCCAGCCTGTAATATTATTCTGTATTTCCCATCAAATCTCAGGCCTTTAGCATAACATTTGTGTATTTTTACTCACACAGACATACCCATTCCTTTGATGACAGAAGGCATTTGTAAATTTTTAAATGAACAGTCTATGGTTCTGACAGTTACAAGTAGAAATTTGAGGTGTGAAGTGTGAAAGCCTTGATCTCCCAGGGTCAACTAAGGGGTGCATCCCAACAGGTTTAAAACTGTAATAAATCTGCTTGTTAGTGGAGGTATGGCAATTTAGCAGTTGAGAATTATGCTGCTTGGAGTATTTTGAATGTTTTGATCCACAGGAGAACAAGTTTGAGACTACATGTGACCCTTGAACATTATTAAAGTACCCTAATTCAAAATCTGTTAGTAGTTCTGGGTAATATAATTTAATGCCTTTTGGTTAGCAGTAATATTGAAAAACACATTTATTGTGCAATTCTTTGAGATCTTCTGTTCTAAACTCTTTTTTTTTTTCTCTCCAAGTTCCTCATTTACCCTGAGACTTCTCCTGCTGTGATAATCATTCCTATCTGAGATTACTCCTGTGCTTTCTATCAAAAAAATAAAATAAAGAGTTTTGAGTGGATTTAAGCCTCACAGAGAACGGGGGGGAAAAGCACAAAACAAACTAATAGAGCTGTTTGCTGTCTAGCACAACAGGCAGTGCTGTATGTATAAGTACTAAATGTGGACAAAATCTTGGCTGAATATGTACTTTCCTTCTAAATATGTACAAAGTCTGAGGTTATCAAGATTTTGTATACTTGGGAATTAAGTTTCTTAGCAAGCTCGGTTATAAATATAATAAATGTAAGCCTTAACTACTGAGTCATATTGTAGTTGTTATATTGCTCATTTTGAGGAAAAAGCGAGCAAAGAATTGGTGTCTTGTGCTATACTTGCTTAACTTACAGAATTATTTTGTTTCTGTTCCAGATGATGTTGCTCCATACTTCAAGACAGAGCCAGGCCTGCCCCAGATACACCTGGAAGGAAATCGACTCGTACTTACGTGCCTTGCTGAAGGCAGCTGGCCCTTGGAATTCAAGTGGTTACACAATGACAGTGAAATAACCACCTTCTCCAGTGAATACAAGTAAATAAAAGCCATAAATATACTTCTCTAAGTATAATTGTAAACAAAAAACCCCCAATGTATTAAATCACATTTGCAAATACTGGTGTATTTACAATTTTTTTTACTTATGAAGACTGTTTTTTGTAGATGGGTAAGATGTCTGAAAGAATTGCCTTTTTGAATGTGTTCAGCACTCCAAAACAAAATTTCTAATGTAGGATCTTTTAAGTATCAACAATGATTTTGTTGGCTTTGAAGTTTTATATATACTTGTATTAAAGAGCAGGCATATTGCTGATGTTTGTTTAGAAATTACTGAATAAAAATTGGGATTTTTTTAAGGATTGAAAGAAAGTTTTTAAGGTCGCTTTGATCTGTATTTTTTTGCTACCCCTAGGTACTTTTCTACCCTGCATGCTGAAAGCAGAACAGGCGTTGGTTAAATGTTATGTATGATATACAACCTATCTTTGAAGGGTACCAAGATCAGTGGATCTGCTCATCTTATTGAGCTGTAGAAATGAAAGAACGTGGTCTATCTTAAACTCCATATGTAACTTTCATTTTTACTTCTGAGAATTTGAAAATTTTGTAGTTAAACTGTTCTTTTGTGATTATGCAGTTTGTTCCCTGGACCTCATTGACTCCCTCAACACATCCCATTAGGCGAGAGAGAAAGCATACTGTGGCTAATCAGAGCTAGGTTTTTGTTGATAGGCAGCAGATGGCTGGCCAAACATCAAAGTGTAGAGCAGCCAAGATTTGTCTGCCTTTTCCTTCGTGGCAACATTAACTGGGTCTCCCCTATGCAATTGCTGATTTCCATAACCTTATAGAAATTCAATATTTGTGCAACTCCCATGCTTCTTTTAAGTTTTGTTGAATTACCTGGTGATTTCAGAAGTTTTAACATGCAGGTATGTGACAGACAGACCCCCAAGTAATAGCACTTGTATTTAGCTGAGCAAGCTAAATTCTGTTCTTAATATAATTACAAGAAGTAGGGAAATCTTCTCCTACCATTACAGAAAGAAATTGCAGTATAGATTGATATAAGAAGGTGGATAATGTTATATTTTTCTATGCTGTTTATACATGGTAATCCATAATTAAGGTCTCTAATAGGCCTGTTAATCAGGGAGAGTTTGAGCATCACTTGGAAAAAATGCCACTTGTTTTGATTAACAACATCTGAGTCCATTGCAGTTTGCAGCTGATGACAGCTCCTACCCATGTAAGATGCTGAGAAAGTAACTGAAAGAAACTGGACAGGGGCAAGATTATGGAGTGATAACAGAAAGCAAAGGCTAGAGCTCAAGCTCAGTTGGTGTGCAAGTACTGAGAGACTTACAGTTCAGAATAACAGAAAATCTGAACAGGAGTGTATGACATCTTGAAACTAAGATCAGAGTGCCACGGTACTTACTGTGTAAGTGCACATTCCTAGTAAGCTCACTAAGATTCAAAACATAAAATTTGGTGTGTGTTGCAGTGTAAGTTAGAATCAGTGTGTCAGAATATGGTTCTCTCTTCCGTTTGTAACTAAAACACCCACTACAAAGATGATTAAAAAGATAGGAAGCTACTAGTTCATAGTATAAGAACATTGACAGAAAATATTAATTCAGACATTGCACCCATACTACTACTCATTTGTAGTTCCTTACCACAGTCAGGGAGCAGCCAGAGAGGATCTTGATTCTGTGGCAGTACAGAACTTTAAGCTTCCAAGAATGATTATGTGGCATAGGTACACTGGGATGAATTAAAGGAGAGGCAGAATATGCTTAGACATAAAAATTGTGGTTGCAGAAATTAAACTTTGACCCCGTAATAGTTTGTTCTGCAGCTTCTAGGTGAATATTCTGTTTAAATGCATGAATCTTTCTTGTGTGACTCTGGCTACAAGTTGAATCATGAATCAAAAATTTTCAGTAATTGATATTACTTCTTGTGTCCTTAAGTAATGTGTATATTGTAACTTGTTGAAAATATTCCAAGCTTATTATGACACACCAAGTGAGTAAAGAACTAATTGGAGTCTTTGCATTTTGCCTCTGCTGACCCCGAACGAACAGCTTTTCTTTGTATAACGATGCTGATTATGCACACAGCCTGGCCTTTATAGTGACTGTGCATGCGCCAGTTTGTATTAAGAATTTATAAACCAACCTCATAAATTCTTTGTGATCTGAAATGCAAGTAGTGAAAACAAATCAATATTGCTGACTAAAGTAGCAATTTTGGTTGCATCTGTAAGTAGAGAGTATTCAAAGTTCAGACAGTGTCTTTTTTTTTCTCCCCTCTCCCCTACTGGTTGGTTCATTTTCTTGATTCGTTTGTTTTCAGCGGAATTATGTTCTGGACCAAATGCATCATCTGTATTTCCCTTTGTTGCCTGAGGATTTTAGTTTAATTCATCTTAGAAACCAAGGTTATGTCTAAGCACTAGTATGTTTTCCTTGCAAACTGCTTAAAAATATCCGATTATTATATTTTACTATATTTGTATTTTTAACATTGAACATCCTTTTTATCCTAGACAAAAAGCATGTATCAGTTTTTTCTAGATACTTGATATCCTGCTATGATTCCCTTTTAAAATTTGTAGCTGGAAAACTTGAATCCATTTCCTTCCCTCCGTCTAGATTCACTTTTCTTCTCATGTCTGTCAGAACCAGAGCTCAGATGATTTTCCTCTTCAGAAACAAGTGTGTTCTTTTCAGTGACTTGTGTAGAACATTCTTCTGAACAGTCAAGTAACGATTGAGTGCTGAATAGTTGAAGTTGGTACAACAACCAAGTGCTGAGCAGTTACTTTGCTTCTTCTCTGATGAGCTCATTGTCAGACTTAGGACCTCAAAAGAAAAAACATGATCTATGTGATAAGGCTGCATCATATTTGTTTCTTAAGCATTCTTTCCTTTTATCCCAAACCAGCCAAATCAGTTTAATTTCATCTAAAGTCCCTTCTTTTCTTAGAAGTCTTCCTACTTTCTTCCCTGTTGCTTCCCATCTCACAGAGCATCCTTCCAAAATGTTTTCCAAGCTCTTGCTTTTTCTTTGACAATCTGCATGTATCCCATTATGTTATCACCCAGAAAAACTGAGTCATCCCATTTTTAAATCCATGTTCCAGGATGTGCCATTTGTTTGCCTTTCCTGCACGTTGCTAGTTGGTAGGTCCACTGAGAGGCCAAGTGCTGTGTAGGTTTGGGCTGTGCTGGAATTCCCAAGATAGATGGGATTTTCATGCAAACTTTTAAAAGCTTTTCTGCCAAAAGGTTTTCTTTACTTCAGGCAAGATATTATGAATGTTTTCTGCTGAAACATTAATAAGTTAGAAAAGAACACTAATGTAGGAGATTTCTGATCTAATTGATTTGTTTTGTCCTAGTGGAAGAAGTGACTGTTATTTTCTTGGTATAGATGTGGAGCAAAGAAATAAGCCTTTAATTTTGGCTCCATTTTGTAGACAAGCAGAAGAATTAATTTTTGCCAAGTACAATAACAAGTGTGGTAATATTAGCTGTTAAAATGAATTATCAATATTTATTTGTCAGAATCTTTAAATATATATATTTTTTGGCTAGCGATGCTTTGCAGCAGTCATCTGCTGTAGCAGGAAATTATTCTGGAAGGAAATCAGGAAGCCATATGTTGTCTTGATTTCTATCTTATGCCCTTTATTTTCACCTATTTTCTGTTTCCTATGTCACACTCATCAGGCAAGGCAATGTGGTAGATTCAGGGTTGTATCTACTCACTGAACAGCAAGTATTTGTGTGCTGTTTGTCCAGCTTACTGCTCCCAAACAGAACAGGGTTGTGAGTCTGTCTTATCTTCCCAGTACAAATTGTCATAATCCCTGAAGGAAATTTGCTGGTCGCACCAGAGCAGGTCAGGAGGAGTCAGCACAGGCAGGCAGACAGCACAGGTGCCCATAACCCATCTTCAGGAAGCCAGGGCTGCTAGGCATCAGATTAGATTGGTGCCATTTGTTGGTGGCACTGGGCTCTGGTTTTATTTACTATTTTAGGTCGGTTGACCTATTTGCTGTAATGTCTTTGATTGTGATTATAATGCAGTGATTATAGACTTCATTTATCACTTAAATTAGATTTCTTCTCTATCCTTTGTTTTTATGCTGTCTGATCCCGTTCACATATTAGCTGCTCTGTATGTGGGTGTGTCTAGTATGTGTGAGTATGGGAAGAGATCCTTTCTTTTAGTGGAATTAAATTTCAAAGATTAAAATTCAGTTGTATTATTTTTCCTTATCTTTTCATAAAGGCTTTCATTAATCCCACCATAATATCTTCAGAAGGTGACCAGGGGAAATATGTGCTTTGATTAATATTTGCTTAATGCAGAGTTATCTATCTTATTCTTGTGTTTTATTCACATTAAAACTGTGCTCATCAGCTCATTGTCATGTTTGAGTGGTCAGATGTAGCTGAATGAGGAAGGTGAGCAGTAGTGGAACAAGCGACTTCTTTTGTTCATCAAAGGCCAGAACAAATACAATGTACAGTGCACTGTCTTTTTCAGTGCTCTTTGGAGTTACGCTGGTCGTGCTGTGTAGTAAACACTTCTTTTCATGGCAGAGCTTTGATTGTTCTTGTGAAGATTCCTGCTGCCTATGTTTAGATTGCAGTCGTCTTGTGCCACCTCAGAATTAAACACCAGGCATCTCTGCCTTATGAATGAGGTTAGATAAAACTAAGGAAAGCATTTAAGTCTACATTTAAGAGAAATACTAATTAGTATTTATAAACTGTATTTCTTAAGACTAGAAGTTTGCTATTCTTAAAAAATACAATATGCCTTTGAGACAACGTGTAAAATATTAAAGGAATAATATGAAATGCAACAGAAAGCAGCATTGATCTGCATGTGGGAAGAAGCGTATTACAATTCTACATTTTTCTCTTACAGGTACATCATTCCAGCTTTGCAGAGGTCTGATGCTGGCTTTTATCAATGCATTGTGCGAAACAGAATGGGGGCATTGCTGCAAAGAAGATCTGAAGTTCAAGTGGCATGTAGGTTTGGATAGAAGTTATGCTGTCAAATCGTTAACTAACTGATTCTTTTTGTGGGTACCAATAAAGTTTGCTACTCTAAAAATGTATTACATATAATATTGATTTCAATATTATTGCATCACGAGAAGCTTCACACTTAATGTAAGCTATATTTTGGGAAACAAGCTTAAAGTGGTGCTGTAGTGAGTCTTTAGAGAAGACTCAAGCTATTCAAAGCTATCAGAAGGAGATCATGTGGAGATAGCTCTAGGATGAGCGAAAAGTATTGCACTCTTCCATAAATATGCAGGGATTAACAAAGGCCAGGTAGCACAAAATAATAATAATAAAAAGAGAATCCAAAAAGAAATCCTAAAAAAAAAAGGATAGGATATCTGGAAGAGAACAGCTCCCTGAAGCTTTCAGATCATAATTCTTATGATACAGAACTGGTTGCTTCAGAGCCAAAAGCTTGTGAATCGTTGTCTGTTCTCAGCATGTTTCAATGTTTGCACCTCTTCAGTTTGGACTGAGCAGATTTTTTCAGAGCTGACTTCTAATTTCACATCTAGCTTCCACTTGATATTACTGAGTTTATTCTGAGGATTTAGTGCTAATTACTATGGCTTAAGAATGATTGCATACTCCAATTATTTATATTTTTTAAGTTTAACATACAGAAAATATTACCCAAGTGAGTTGCTTGGAAATAATAGTAAAATTAAGCCTTTATTTTTTTAAGTACGAAACCTTTGTGCTAGCAATCAAACATGAGGATCAAATTTCAATTCCTCCAAGTCAATAAATGGAAAATCAGTATTAGTAAATGTCACTTGATAAATGGATTTTAGCTACACTGAGTTATTTATTAGAAACCTGTTTCAAGGAACCAATGGAAGCTATTAAGTGTGTCATGAGGGAAGTTATGTGGAATTTTCTGTGCTTATATTCTTGTAGGGTTTGTTAAAATTGTTCCTTCCCCCATCATCTGTTTCTGTGTGCAGCTGCACAGGCAGTTGTGCTGCCATAGCAGAAGGAGCAATTCATGGTGGGGATGATGGTGAGAAAGTGGCACAGGAATACTTTACCTTGATGCTGCCACTAAAGAATCCTGTCTCTTGAAAAGATAGCTTTGTTCCCTTCTGAATGAGGGAAGGATTTTCAGCAAAGTGCTTTGTTTCTCCAGAGTTTTTTTTGGTAGGTGTCCGTGTTCTTGGTTCTTCTTGAGAGAGAAAGAAATGTAATTGTTTACTTTTCTGCTCTTAAAATTTGCAGCCCACACTCCTTTAACTTATAGTTCTGCATTGCTGAGCAAGGCTAGAAAGCTCTCTGTTAAGATTTCTCTGAGTTAAGCAGCTGATTTATTTATTTTCACTGGCAGTGTCATGGAGATGAAGCAAAGTAGATCTTGCATGGCCTAGGAGATCTTCTGTCTTGATCCTATAACAACCTATATTGCTTCTCTTGTGAAACTTGTCCATCAGATTGGCACAGCATTTACATAGATTAAAATGTTCTATAGCCTGAGGTATTTTTTTCACCCGTGTCCTCTGATGCAGCAGGGAATTTGGTAAATAATTTAGACAATGTTGTTAACATGTTCTAATGTCTGATTTAGCTGAATGGGAGCAGATACTGTTAAGAAAACTGCTGAGTAAATCTTAATTACGGAACGGGCTTAAAACTCTTGAAATGTGAAGACTACAATAACCATATGACAGTGAAGTTAATTGGATCCACCTACACGGTTTGAAGCTTCACGTAGATGATCTGATTACAGCTGTAAGAAATATGGAGCAACAGAGGCAGTACAATATCTGAATAAATTACTTGAAAAATACAAAAATAATTAAACCTTTAAAATGCTGTGTGTTTTTAATTCTTTTTTCTCTCTCCTCATCTCCTTTCATCCAAAGATCTGGTAGTGCGTTCTGTTTCCATCTCCCTTCTATCCCTCTGCCCCAGAGAACATTCCTGAGCCCAGTGGTCCCTAAAATAAAAACTAACCAGAAAGTTTTAGAGGCAGAAACCAGAATAGTTGTGTGTATCAGTTTCCTAGTTTAAAGCAAATTAAAATGCATAGAAATTCTTTGGAGGATGAATAAGTGGGAGCCTACAGCCCTGTTTATTTTAATGGATAGAAATAAGGCACACAAGGCAAAAGAACAACACAAAAAAAAATGTTTGCTAAATTTTTAACAAGGACTCCATAGATTCCTATGAAATGAAACCTTCAGAGACAGGAGTTCTGCAATTGTAGTGTTCTTTCTTCCTTTATTTTTATTCTTATTTTTTTGCTAAAAGCTCCTGTTTAATACTGCTGATGTTTTTGTAAATGGCAAAGATCTATTTGAATCACAGCATATAGCCAGAAGAACTAATTGCTACCAACATTGCTACAGTCTTGTTAGTTTGATATGTATTTGTGTATAATGGCTTCCTTATGTAGATCTGACTTCACATTGATGACTACAAGTAATGCAGTTCCCTGTTTGTTTAGGTATGGATAGAAGGAAAAGTATTGTGGTAAAAAAATATTTGATGAGCAGACATTCATAAAGTTATACATGCCATTTGCATTTCTTTGCATAGCACAGTATTTTCTTTTGTGTGCTAGAAGAGTCAGAAATGAAGTATTCTTTAAAATGAATATAAAGAAAAGAAGCAAAAAAAAAAAAAAAAAACAAAGCAAACCAAAACACACTCAGTTATCTGAAAAGAACACTTTGGCCATTCTGTAAAGCTGACTTCTTGTGTGCCCTTGCTGCACTTGGCTTGGCCTTATGCCCTACTGCTCACCCAATGTGTGCTAATCAGTGCTGTCATGATTTGTTACTCTGTTACTAATTATAGCAATGCCCATAACTATGGTAAAACACATTTAATTCTCTGACTACTGAAATGAAATAGAGAATGAGATGGGAACTTCCACAACTATTAGTGTATATATATCTATTTTGACTTTGCAGATATGGGAAATTTCATGGACACAAACCAGAAAAAAAGAGTGACTGAAGGAGAAGCTGCAGTTCTAAACTTCATGCACATCTTCAGCTATCCAAGACCACAAGTGACGTGGTTTAGAGATGGGCACAAGATCATTCCTAGCAGCAGAATGTAAGTTTTAATCTAAAAAAAAAAACCCACCCTAAAATGTGATTAATTACTTTTGATAACATAACTTACTTTTTAAATACACTAATTAAGGTTTAAAGAGAGTAAAGTAGCCTTGTTCATACTAAGTTGAGATAAATGGCTATTTTAGGACTGTCTCTGAACTTCCTAAGCACTTTGACAAAATAATTCATGTGGTTTTAATGGTCCTGGTGCAGCATTACGGAGTGGATGTGCGCTTCCTTCTTGCAATTCATTTTCATGATACATTTTGGAAAAGTAAATGCTCATGTCTCAATTATATTTACTTGAGTGGACTAAATGAATACTGAGATTTTTCTTTTTTACTATGAGCTTTTCACTGAGAGCCATGCTTAACACTGTTTTCCTCCCCATAAAGTTTTAAATATTCCTCAGTTTTCCTTATCTTTTTTAGCCTAAATGACAGTTTTATTTCTCTTTGACTAATTAGCAGCTCACCCAGTAATGGCAGAGTTCTCGCACTGTGATTAGCTATTATCTCAAGGTGTGCTCATTTATCCCTTTCTGAAGTAGTCACAAGGCCATTCTGTGTAACTGAAGCTTATTTAGAGAACATAGGAGTTGCAAAATTTTTGAATATATTTTGAAAATGTCTGTGTACACATGTATTACTTTTATCTTATGTGTAAAATATTTTTCTTGCCTAATTTATGAAGAAACAGTTGAAATGCCAAGAATGTGTGGTTATTTTTAACTGCGCAGTAGATTTTCATGCACTCCAAGGGACAGACATGCCAGCATCTGATGGTAATGGGATATTGCAAAGACCCAGAAAGGTTGCTGAGTCTTCAGACTTTATATTAGAGAGAGAGAACTCTTGTTGGATTCTGATTTTATTAATCTGTACTGCATATTTTACTGCTACTCATGTGCATTTTCTAAATGTGAACGCTAGTATTACAGGCTCTTTGAAACTGTTAAAATTGGTATTGCAAGGATGTGAAGCAACTGCGTAATAATTTATGAGTGGTTTAATAGTAATTTGATGGGAAACAAGCTGGAAGCTGAAACAGTGGGTTGCTGGGCAATCTCTTGGAGAGAGCAAAGTGACAAATCCTGAGTTATTATCCATTATGAATATACTGCCTGCACTCCTACCACGTTACACATTTTCTTTTTTCAATGCTGAGAATGTAGTATTAAAAAAAAAAAAAAGCAGACTGAAAAAATTGTCCAGATATCAGGCAGTTTCTTGGGAGCAGTCATTGGGGAAACAGAACAGAGTGACCCAGACAAGCATGCAGGGTCTGAAAATGAGATTTGTGTGGGTTATGTTGTAGTACAGGGAAACTACAAGTTAAGATGTGTGTCATATATTTGTTAGTTTTAAACCCTTGTTTTCATGTGCTATGTTTTACTTTTACTTCAAGACAGTTGGGATTTTTGTGGTAAAATCTCTTGTGATTCACAGCACTGAATTAATGTTTACAAGTATAAAATTCTGTTTCATGGTAGGAGTGGAATATACCTAAAACCTCCCTGATCAGAAAATACTGTCTGAAAGGAACTTGAGGACTTCTAACTTTATTTATTTTTGCAGAAATACACACTGAAAAGGTGAACCTCCTTGGAAGTTTGATATATCTTATACAGTGAGCTTGTTAAGTTCAGAAAGTGGCAGATTTATGGTACTCACACCAATCACCTTTGCAGTCTGTGCAGCAGGTCTACTGCTCCCTCAAAGTGTTAAAGAACCACACAGCACTCACATGTTGCTGTGATATTCTGGCAGCCAACGCAGCTGCCCTGAAGAATACCTGGAACCTGAAACACACAGAACGTACATAAAAGTGTGAGAAATGCATTTGTCTTACCACAACTCTGCTTCTTCTCTGGAGAAAACTGCACTTCCAGCCATTCTGTGCGCCAGAGGTGTAGCAGTCGAACTGATCTGTGTTTAGCAGGTGATCCAGTTGGATAGATGCTTGTCTCATTGGATCACCTGCTTAACAGAATGGTTCAATTGATGCAGCCACCTTGTGTAGATGCTCTTTAAACTGATTAAAAGTACCTTATATTGCTAAATCAATATAAAGCTTTTTTAATCCTCTTAAACAAGCTTACAATGATTTAGCCACATCAATCAGCTCCTCTGTCAGCTACAATAATGATTTCCAAGGGTGACGTGGCTGCACTGTGTGCAGATTGAGGAAACGAGCAGTGTTAAAGAAGAGTTGGTTTTGGTACACAGTAATTTCTTATCAATGCTTGTTGAATACAAAGTTGGCCTTGTTCCATCCTTTTAATTTTTTAAAAATCTGTGGCAACTTCTAAAGAATGTGTTCATTCAAGTAGTGTTTGAGTTAACTTTTGCTCACAGGACAGCCTTAAGTTGCACACAGTTATACTGTAAAAGAAGAAAGAAGTGCAAGTGATCCCAAGGCTTATTTACATAGGGATCCATGGCTGTTGTCACCATTAGATGGAACAAACTTCGCTGATATGGGAAGAGAGGTAGAGGGCATGTTGAGTTCTCACTGAATGACAAATATGAAAGTAAGGAGTAGTTCTGGAGAAAAAAAAAAAAAAACAACCACAAAAAACTATCTTAAACTGTTTCAAGGAACGGCACTTAGTTGGCTCTGCAACAAGGGTTTACATGGCAGCCCTAGGGTAATAAATACTGATGTCTTTTTTAATATTTATTGGTATTGAGGACATTTAGTGGGTGAGATTGTCAACTATTCAGCATTCCAACATCAGTGTACTGCTAGGGAGCTAAGGTAACAGAAGGTGTATTTCTGAGTTGTCACAAGATTTTAGGATATTTGACAAATGCATCAAAGAAGACTAAGGAAGTACAAATAAGTACTTTGTGGTTTCTAATATCCTATGTGTACCTTAGCAGTTGCTAGCTCTAATGAATTCTGATCATAAGGAGCAGACCTGTAATTTTGATTCTCTTACTGATCACTAAGCAGAAGAGTACCAATTATTTAGGCTAAGGGCAGAGGAATTGATTCAGCAGATGGCTTTGGTTTCAGTTTTTTATGAAGGGAATTCAGAATGGTAGTTTTACGCTGTGAGCATGTACAGACACAGTATTTTGTGGGAGAGAATTTCCTTTGAGACAGATAATTTTTTTTTTTTCCAAACTGCATATTCTATTTAACTGGTGGAAGTTTGCAGCAGAGAACCCTATATTACTTCTCACTTTAGCAGTGCAGGTGCCATAATATACGAATAACGGGTGTTAATTTTTTTTATATAATCCTATTTGTGACAAGTTCCTCCTAGATGAATAAAAATATAAAGCCAGCAGATCCCTGAATAATATATGAATGTGAAGCAAAAAGCCTGTTCATGCTCATGGAGTTGTTGACATAGTTTCTGACTTAGGGTGAGTAACGTATCTGCAGCAGAGATGGTGTGACATGATGGCATGTATTTAAAAATTTAAGTCCTAAATTTTTCTTCTACTTAGCGCAGCATGCATATATATTCCTTTTGGCTTTTGTGCATTATCTTTCACCAAATTTCAATTTGGTGTTTTAAAAGGATGTTCCTAGATCATTAGCAGGAAGGTGTGTACGTGCTAGAAAGCTATAAAATGGGGAATCTGAGAGAGAAGACCAGAAGATCAACAGCAAAAGAGGTTAAGTAAGGAGAAGAGTTAGGTAAGGAGAAGAGTTAGGTTTGGGGATGCTTTTTAGTATTATGTGGAAACATTTCCAAGAATACTTAAATAGTTCACATTACACTTTGACAGATGAATGTTTTCCAAATACTTGAACAGACTAATGTGGAATAAGAACAGAGCCATTATGCAGGGACTTGACTGATGGGAAGATTCCATGTTTTCCCTCGCATCCTAGAGAAGACAATAACTTTCCTCAAGGTAACTGCATCAAAAGAAATCACTGCTCTGAGATGTCGTGTCTTCAGGTTGCCTTCCCTGGGTGTGCTTCCTCAGACTTCAGAGCAGAGGGCATTGCCCTTCCTTCACACCAGGCACATACAGTACCTTGGAGGCTGAGGCAAAGGACAGTGGCACTGTGCAGATCTGCAACTGCCTTTCAGCTGTCACAGTGAGGAATTAAATCCTAGGTTTTAATTAATTTTACTGTTTTTCTAAGTGAAGAACTTAACCGAAAAGGCAGTCAGTAAATGAATTGTTGGTTGTTCTTTAAGAAGAGAAGTTCAGCGATAAAGAAATTTTTACTATCCTCAGTAACTTTCTACAGCGAAATCCTTTTCCCCCTACAAGCTGCAGATAGATAAATATTACCTCATATGCCTTTTGCTAGTGAAGTGCTGTCTGGTGCAAAACAAAAAAGTTTATTTTTGTCATTTAAAATGAGTTTCGAGGCGTCCCTCTTAGCTAGGTGGACATTTTGTCATTTAGTTAACTGCAAATGAACCCAAATTCTTCACAGATTCACTTTGTCCTGCCAGACAGTGAAGATGAATTGCTCTGCCTTTAGGTTTGCATGAATATCTATTTTTTGCAGTGAGAACACTTCATTAGGCATTTGAATGTATGCGGTCATTACTAGCTCTGATAGATACTAAATGTGCTGACAGATTGTGGAAGGAAAACGTGTTAGGCACAAGCAACCCTCAAATATACCTTCCTTTGGCTTTGGACACTCATAATGCCCTGCAACTAAGCAAAGCTAGGGCAGACTTAGCATTTGTTAAGGTAAAATTGTAAATGTATTAATGACGTTCTCAAAAAGAAAACAAGTAGCTACAACGAAACAGGCGAAACAGTGAGAAAGTTTAAGGTATGTGGGATAGCATATTTGATTTTGGGTTGATATTAGTATTAGATTAGGTTTTGTCTGGATGATAACAGCTTACTTAATGCTCTGTGTATGCATTTTTTACTTTAAAGCAAACACTTCACTTTATACAAGGGACTCTAGTGCCAGCAATGCACTTCTCTGCATATAGTAGCCTGTCATACAGCTTGTGTTAGTTGCACGTAATTACTTTTCACGTACACCAGATAATACTTT